TTTATTGAAAGGACCGTATAGGTCCCATGGTAATCCAAGGGCAGAAACACTTCACAGCTGGAGCTAGAGACACTGGAACTGGGAAACAGAAAACAAAGGTTTGTTTTCTGTGTATCTTTGCAACTGGGTTGCCAGGTCCTGGCTCCTCTGCCTTCCTCTCCTGTCCGTAGACTGGTGAACTTGTTTAGGGCAATACTGGCCACGCCCAGCCTTCTCGATGATGATAACTTTCAGTGTATCCTTTTGTCTTCTGCCCTGCCTGAGTCTTCATCCTAAATTCTCAAAAGATGAATTTAATTGGCTCAGCCTATCTTTCTGTCTACCACTGCAGGTTTTAGGATTTGGGTCAGCCTCTACATTGGTTGCCTTTACATAAGATTCTCTGCGCCTCACTTCTCCTGTCAGCTCTGGTTTAGAGGGCAAGAGAGGGTCCAGTATTTAAAAAATAATCTGATGAGCCCTGGCTGGGTAGCTCAGTTGATTGGTGTGTCGTCCCGTACCCAAAAGGTTGTGGGTTTGATTCCCAGTCAGAGCACATGCCTGGGTTGCAGGCCAGTTCCCAGCAGGGGATGCACAAGAGGCAACTATACATTGATATTTCACTCCCTCTCTTCTTCCCTTCCCCTCTAAAGACAAACAAATAATATCTAAAAAGGTTTTTTTAAAATGATAAAACAACCTCCATAATGTGTTAAATATTCCTGTGTGCTTTTTCTTAATCTAATTCCTGGTTAGGTTGGATCTGTTCAGCTAGTTGCTTTGTGAACCTTCACCCTACTCTTTATGACTTGGACATGGCCTTTTAAATAAAAAAGTATGCCCTGGCTTGTGTGACTCAGTGGGTTGAGTGCCAGTCTGTGAACCTAATAGGTTGCATGCATGTCACGTCTCCGGTTGAGGATGTGTGAGAGGCAGCCGATTGATGCTTCTCTCCCTCTCTTTCTCCCTCCCTTCCCCCTTCTCTAAGAAAATAAATAAATCTTTAAAAAATAATTAGTCTTGTGTCTTTAGAGGTTGAGTATTGTAGCCTGGGGAAGTATATATGTGCCACACCTACAGTTCTGTAAGTGACTTTATGATCAGTATCTTACTGTCCTTGAACACTGTATCCTTAAAACAATGACTAGCATTTATGTTCAGTGGAAGCCATAACCATTTCCTAATGTTTCCTTTCAAAGGTTGCCGGTGAATGCTGGCTCAGATATATTGCAGATAAAAGTAGTTTGGTAATTTATCATGTTAAAATTTCGGTTTCTAATTAAAAGTAGAAAAGTCTTATTTGAAAGCTTGTTATAAGTAGAACTTGCATTTTACTCTAGAATAAAAGAAATGAAATTATAAGTCCACATTTGAGTCTTGGTTATGTTAGTGATGTTGTGAACCTTTTTCTTTTTTTGTGTTAGTTCATTCAAAGAGAAGTGAAATACAAGTTGGAGGATATCTGTGCTGTTACACACCCCACTACCCCGTGATCATTCACGTCCTCAGAGAGACAGTGACAGAATTAGTGTGGCCAAGCCTTGACTTGCCTGACAAGTAGTTCCCAACTCTAGCTTCTCTTCAGAAGGACCTCCTAAGTTTTTTTTTTTAAGATTTTATTTATTTATCTTTAGAGGGGAAGGGAAGGAGAGAGGGAGAGAAACATCAATGTATGGTTGCCTTTCATGCATCCCCTGCTGGGAATTGGTCTGCAAGGAACTGGTCTGCAACCCAGGCATGTGCCCTGACTGGGAATCGAACCGCGATTGTTTGGTTCGCAGGCCCATGCTCAATCCACTGAGCTACACCAGCCAGGGCAATTTTTTGAAACATAGATGCCCAGGCCTCAACACAGACCTACCGCATCAGACTCTCCAGGGGGTCATTTTATAATCTGTATTTTTGAAAGACTTGGTAGTGAATTCTACATACAGCAGGTTTGGGAACTGCACAAGGCCTCTACTTCTCAGTCAGACACAAAAGAACTTTCTCATGGGCAAGAAGGTTGTTCTATTTAGGAATGCTTACCAGCTGTGTATCATGTGCTATGGGAATTTATGAAAATGTATATGAATATAGATTTCACTATTACTGCCCCCCAAATATTTGACTGGTGGCTGGTGTATGTGAGGCTCACTGTGGTGGGTTGAGTTTTCCAAGGATCATAATGCACTTTTTAATGACAGTATCGATACACCATAATTTCTCATGTTGCTTTAAAAAATTCTTACTCACATGCAGTCTTTGGAACTATGCTGCTGGGTCTTCGAGTCCCGAGTTGGTTGCCCCTATCTGGACTCTGCCATCTCTTCCACATATTATGTTGGTGTAACACTTTTTCTTAATAATGGTCACTGGGCAAGTAAATGCCATGAGAAGCCAGCACAGGTTCTTTTCCTTTTATAGTGAAAGGAAGAATGATGTCAGAACACCATTAAGGTGTTATGTACTTGGAGGAGTTGTTTTGTGGAGCTGATTCCCAGATATGGATAGTGGCTTTGTATATGAATAGTGAAGCCCGACTTGTAGATTTCAGTATTTGTTGGTTTAAGGAAAGTGGCCCTGGAACTTCTCGGCCGGCTTTGTGCAATCGTGTCACTAGGTGGAGATGTAGCATTGTTTGGTGGTGTAGGCCACGCAGAAAGAGTGCATCTCGGTTTCTATTGACAAAAGTACTTTACGGGTATTTGATGAGATTTATTCGACCCTAGGAAAAAACCCTGCAGATTTACTATAACTCTAGTTTGTAATTTTGTAGGGTTTAAATTAAGTCCTACTTTAATGACTGTTTTCACACTGATCAACTCTTATTTCCTCTCCTCTTCCTAATATTTCCTCATGATTCCATCTTATCAGAGCTATTCCAGTGTCTCTGTCTGTGGTTATTTATGGTGCTTTAATCCTAGAAGTTTAATAAAATGATCAGAATTTTACTCTGTGGTCAAATACTATCTAAAATTTTAATTTGGTACCAATATGAGGTCAATGAACCAAAACTTACAGTCTGAATATACCCAAATCTTATGTTTGTATTATTTTAGGTTGGTGCATCAAATTTTAACATATGTAAATTCTGTAGGGCTTATTTCCCTCCTTTCTTCCTTTCCTTCCTTCCCTCTTTTTCTTACCTCCTGAATCTTAAACAAGCGTCTGCACAGTATTGATGTAGGTAATGTAAAAGTATGAGCCTATCTCCAAAGAGCTGACATCTAGTTGAGAATGTTGCAAATACGCCATGAATTGTTTTCAAGTCATTTGAATATTTGATCTTTAGAAATCGTAAAGGTGAAATTAAAAAAAAAACACAACTCACTTTGGAAAATAGTCTGGCTGTTCCGCAGGCATTTAAACGTAGAGCTACAGCACAATCAAGTGGCTTTCCTCTGCTAGTTGTATATCTAAGAGAAGGGAAACTGTATGTTCACAAAAAACGTGGACATGAATGTTCATAGTAGCATTATTCCTAATAGCCAAAAAGGGGAAGCAGTCCAGGTGTCCATCAGTGGGTGGGTGAATGAATAAATGAAATGTGGTATATTTGTGCAGTGTAATATTATTCAGCAATAACAAGAAATGACGTTCTGACATGTGTTATAACATGGATGATCCTTGAAAACATTATGCCCAGTGAAAGAAGCCAGTCACCAAATATCACATATTATGATTCCATTTATAGGAAATATTCAGAATAATAGATGTAATGACACAGAGTACATCCGTGGTTGCCCAGGGTTGGGGTGGGGGAATGACTGCTAATGGTTACGGAGTTTCTTTCTGGGGTGATGAAAAAATGTCAGGTTGAGCACTGGCTCAGTGGACTGAGCGCCAGCCTGCAGACCACAAGGTCACCGGTTTGATTCCCAGTCAGGCACATGCCTGGGTTGCAGGCCAGGTCCCCAGTAGGGGGCACATAAGAGGCAACCACACTTTGATGTTTCTCTCCCTCTCTTTCTCCTTCCAATCCCCTCTCTCTAAAAATAAATACATATCTTTTAAAAAATGTCAGGTTGGTTGTGGTGATGGCTGTACAACTCTACAAATACACTAAAAACCACGGAGTGGTATGTACACTGTAAATGGGTGACTTCCATAATATTTCAATAAAGCCGATTTAAAAAAATAAACTATGGAAAGGTTTCAAATTTATCAAACCAAGGAATACTTGTTGACCATCTAACAGGCATGTACTCAATTCTATGTAAGTTACAAAACAAGTACAAGACACCAACCCTGACCTCAAATTGCTCACAGTTCGGGAGAAAAGGCACACGTGCAGCATATAATAATGCACTTTTGCTTTCTGAAATTGTTCCCCATCTTTTAGGATGTAACCTTTTGAATTCTCTCTTCTAGCTCTGTTTGTAATGGCCCTAATCTTCTTATCCTATGTCTTTGTCTCTGTCCTTTCAAAAGCAAACTATTGCTCCTCAGATTTTGATGAATATCAGCCCCAACCTGGTTACCTTTAACTAACTTAAAGGACATTTTTAAGCTATGGTAGCATCTCCAATAACTTAGGGCGTGTGGTTCATGAAAAACTCATTCGTTCAGCAAACATTTATTGATGTTTCATGTACAAATAATTGACAAATCTTGAGACTGTTGGCATTATTATCTAATTATAACAAATATCATTTTGCTCTCATTTACTCAGGTTGCATGATGTTCAGAAGTCTAGTCTTGAGTTTATAGATTTTCATGAAAAATGCCTGTTAGGAATGTTTAAAAATTAAACAAATGTGTGGTTAGTAGAGAGCAGGCTGTACCATCATTAATGCAGTTATTTCAATGTTGTTGTGGTTGTTAAAACTTGAAAGGAGAGATTTTGGTTCATCCATAGTATTTCTATTAATGCCAAAAAAGCTATTTTTAATGAAGGCAGTAGTCCAGTCATTCTAAATCCTTCACATTAGGAATTGTCCTTATTTCCTCATCTATTATGTCTGTCTGTCTGTCTATCGATCTGTCTACTTATGCCTGAGTTATTAGTGCAGCTGCTAAACTGTTTTCTTTCTTTGCAGATGCCTATGAAACCGCCAAGATGCTATGTGAGCAGTATTACATGGTAGCTCCAGAGTTGGAAGTTGAAGAATTTAATGGTAATGAAGAGTAATTTTAACCTTAAATACAAAGAAGTTGACTAAAAAAACTGATTATACCTGAGCTGTATTTCAGTGAGATCCTAAAATTATGATGATTTTTAAAATCTTCTGTAGATTTTTAAAACTCTTTCTTGATCTGTGGTCAACTGGGTATATTGTTGTAAGGAGTTTTTGTACAGGAATGTGTGATCTACTAGACCTCAAAGTTCTTGGAACATTTTCTTTCTATATTTCCAGTAGAAAGTGCCCAAAGGTATAAATAGGCAGCTTTCACAATAGCAAATGAAAATATACAATAAACCTATAGAAAAGTGTTTAACTTTATTAATCAAAGAAGTGCAAACAAAAACACAGAGAAATGCCATTTTTATGTCTTAAAATGGCAATGATTAAAATACTTTATTGCTTCAAATTGGCACCCAGAAAAATACTTTCTTACCAACACTTACATATGCCTGTTATAAATTTCAAATTGGTATGGCCTTTCTCAAAAAGTGCTACCAATATTCTTTCTCTTTGACCCAGTAAATAAAATTAGTCATATTTTTAGTCTAGTAAATTAAACTTCAGAAAAATTAGTATAAGTAAAGAGATGTATGCACAATTTTATGTACAAGAATGGTGATCACAGTGATTTCTTTATAGAGAAAAATTAGAAAATCTAAGTTTTCTACAACAGAGGATATTTACGTAAGTTGCGGTACATTTACACAAGACAATAGACTACTATGAAGCCCTTTCAAATAATGCTTTAAAAAAATCTTTTGCCCTGGCTGGTGTGGCTCAGTGGATTGTGTGCTGGCCTGCGAACCAAAGGGTTGCTGGTTCAATTCCCAGTCAGGGCACATGCCTGGGTTGCAGGCCAGGTCCCCAGTGGGGCACACAATGAAAGGCAACCACACATTGATGTTTCTCTCCCACTCTTTCTCCTCCCTTTCCCCTCTCTCCAAAAATAAATAAATAAAGTATTTTTTAAAGAATCTTTTAAACACAGGCTATAAAGGTCTATTATACTGCAAGTTCATTGGAAAATATTTGTAAGGACTTGTAGCATTATTATAGATAGAAACAACAGAAGTGTGGATAGTAGCATTATAGCCAACTTTTTAAAAAATATTTTATTTATTTATTTTCAGAGAGGGAAAGGGAAGGAGAGAGGGAGAGAAACATCAATGTGTGGTTGCCTCTCATGTGTCCCCCACTGGGAACTGGCCTGCAACCCAGGCATGTGCCCTGACTGGGAATCGAACCGTGATCCTTTGCTTCACAGGCCCACGCTCAATCCACTGAGCTACACCAGCCAGGGCTATAGCCAACTTTTTTATTAATCATATGAATCTTTCTTTTTATGTTCCTTATTTTATTTGTAAGTTACCAAAAAAAAAGTCGTGCTCACCGTAAAACTACAAACGAGATAGAAATGTAGAATAAAAGCTAGTCTCCACTAGGTTATCAGTCCCATACAGAGCTTTGTTTTTTACATAAATGGGGTTGAAACTATACATATATAATGTGTTTTTCACTCTACTTTGAAGAGCTTTGCATGTATTGTCATGTAGAGATTATCTGTAGTGTAGCTTGCCATAATTTATTTAATCATTTCCCAATGAAGATGTGTGTATGTATCTGTGTGTGTTTTGAAGGTGGGAAATTTTGAACATGTGGAAGTATTTCTGTACATTAGATTCCTAGAAGCGGAATTACTGAGTCTTGGGGTATGGGCATTTACAATGAAAGATAAACTGGATTCTTTCTCAAGATACAGGGCCCGGCAGAAGTAAGGCCTGCTTGAGTGTGGTCGGTAGGGTACGTGAATGTCTCACATGAGATGGACAGCAATTTGAACATTTCCCCTAAAATGTCACATGGTGCGCTTGAGTGTGATAGTGTTATGTTGTGGGATTACATGCTTAAGATTTTGTAATAAAAGATTTGGTATAGATTGCAAGCTCGTAAATAGTGGTGTTATTTGTGGCAGACCCTGTATATCAAAACTGTATTTTTCTTCTAATGAGATCAGAGTGTGAAGACACTTTGGGCTGCTGTTGTAAGACATTTGCCCCCACATTCTACTAGAAGGTATGGAATCAAAGCAGCTTTCAAAGTCTGTTGGGTTCTCTAAGAGTTGTGCCCCTGTTTTGAATCAACACACTCTGAGAACCGAGTGGACTTGGCTTTGAATATTCCTGAGTAGAAGCATCTTGATAACCCCTCTTTCTCTCTCTGGCTAGGTGGGGCCTGACTGCACTGTCCAGCTTTCTGTTTGTCAAACATGGAACTTAAATTCACAGCTAGTAACCAATTGCTCCTTTGCATGAATGGCAGCCTCCCTCACTCCGAAGGCTGGAGCAGCGAGCCTGTTCTTGCTGGTTCCCAGGTGCCAGCTGTGTCAGCGCGCTCCTTCCCAGCAAGGCTGTCACGCACTGCAGTGCACCCCACCAGGAGAAGAGCTTTATGCCTATTTTTGGCACTGTTTTATGCATGGTTTTTGAAGCACTTTTTTCCGTCACTAAGATAAATAAATGCCGGTGGTTATAGGCAGCCTCCAGTTTCCTGTTGCTTTGAGTAATGTATTTATGATTTCTTGAATGTCAGAGCTCTTTGTGAGGGCTGTTAAAGACTGTGTTTTATCTCTAATAAGCTCTGTATTAGAGATGCAGGTTGGAGGTCGGTCCTGAACACCTTAAGTAGACTCTATTGCTTCACAATGAAAGAGAGTGCGCACGTGTTTCCCACAACATGATACCTGACTGTTTTCAGGGAGGGGTCAGATCACATCCAGAGACTTAGGGATTGATTTTCAGAGCCTGTGTGAGCTAGCATGGCCTCGCTTCTGTGACCCAACGGGTGCCTCTAGCAGCAGTGACAGTGCTTGGTCCCCTCTGCTCTGTACTTCAGAAGAGTAAAACTGCCATGAACCCAAAAGAACAATTTGTTGCTGCCTGAGAATTTAATTTCTGTTAGTTTGACACGTCATCTTTTTTTTCACTGAATTTTTTTTCTTTTCCAATGTTGATTCCTGAGAAGGTGGTAAATAGGATTATGCAGAACATACTATGTGAACACCACAGTATTTACCAGTCCTCACTACAATTCTCAATACTGGGGACCAGCTATAGTAAGCTTCCTTCATTATCCTTCCTGTGATACATTTAACAGGACCCTTAAAATAATAGCATTTTAGTTACCTCGTATCAGGTATCAAACATTTCTGATTGGTCACCTGTGGCAACCCATGTGGGTTCCTCTAAAGACAAGTAGTCATTCATCACACTTGTCCTCATTTCTCTTCGGAAATCAGTTGCCAAACCATTAAGCAAATAAGCATTTCTGATTGACTTCTGCTGCATCCATCCATAAGGCGTGGCAGCATGGCTGAAGGGAAAGATATGAACGTGGTAGCTAGCCAAGCAGTAGAAATCTGGATCCTGCAACTTAGATGTGGGCCCTAGGCAAGTCTCTTAGCATCTGACACTCGGCTTCCTCATCCATAAGCTTACCCTGTGGAGCAATAAAAGGAGGATGTTTCTAGGGCCTCAAAAATATAACACTGACATATACTGGGTAATTTTCAAAAGAGTGGCCACTGGAAGTGAGGGTTGACTTGGGACAGATAAGACTTGTATGGTTACTCCTTGCATTTTTCATTATTTCTAGATTAGTCGTTTCTGTCAAGAGGTTGATTTTATAGCTTAGGTTTGGTGGGAAGCAAACATTTCAATTCATACCATGTATATTTTGTTACAAGAGAAAAGGTAGATACCTATCTCTTCATAGAAAAGGTACATATCTATCTTGGGCTTGTTGGCCTCTAGTTTCTCGATATTGTATAGTTTTGTGCTTATTTTCAAGCACGTGGTTCTGAAAATTGAAAACCATTACTGGTAACTTCATTAATAGCGTAGAGATTATTTTTTTAGTGATGACAATAGGCAGCAGTTATTGACTGCTTACAGTGTGACAGGTTCTGTGTCAACTAGTTTATCACTGTGATCTCACTTAATCTCACTTTTATTAACCCAGGGAGATATGTTCTGTGCCATTTCAGAAATGGAATGCCAAGGCCCAGGTGGGTGTTAGGTACCTATTAATATATGTATTAAATGCCTAAGTCAGGACTTGATCTTAGGTCAAGACATGCTGTTTATTATTTTGAAAGAGGGCTACTATGGGAAAGGAGGGAGGGACTTGTTCTTTTCTTACTTTTTAACAAATTTCAAAATCATTTGTGTATATTAATAATTTCAAAAATAGCTGATCATCAGCCAGTTCAGGAGTTAGACTCAAAAGCCCAAGTTCAAGTGTCCAATTTCAGCGCCTCTTCTGTTATGGTGAGCAAGGCCAGTAGCCTCTGCAAAGCCTGTGTCCTTACCCATAACAGTGCTACCCACTCTCTGATCTACACGGTATTGTCATGAGGATTCAACTGCATAATGTTCAAGCTCTTCGTAAACTGCTAAACACCAAACGAATGTTCTCTCCACTTTATACTCTTCGTTATGTATTTTATTAGAGGAAGCAGTTAGGTTGACATTATGACATGGGTGAGTTTGTGATCTACTTGAGAAAGTTCACATAATTTTAGTTTCTTAACTGATTTCAGGTCACAAGGACTAAGTTTTGTAGCCTCTACTGTAGAGCCCACACTGATCTTAATGCCTGACCTGGAGTTTGGTATTTCTCAGATTTTCCCCAGAGAATCCCTGATGCAAGGAACAGGACTGTAGGTTTCTGGGAGGCTGTCTGTTAGCCGCTAGTGGAAAAAGGTTATGGGAATCTTACTCTACTCCATAATATGCCTTGTCCGTCACAGTTTAACATCGCTGTTCATCTGATTTACTGAAAAGATGTGCCCTGTTTCCTGTGTGCCTTTTACATCCCCCCTGCCGACCTGTGGGGTCACTGCTAGGGGTGGGTGTCTCCCGATTTGAAAAATACTGAGTGATATTTGGATGACCTTACCTAATACTCAGAATTAGGCTTAAGTGATAATATTCCAATGTGGCTCAACTAGATTCCAAAGCAATTGAGTAATTTGCCCAAGGTCATGTAGCTGGCAACTAAAGGAACCAGATGGCACCCCGTATTTGTTGGACTGCCAAAGATTTGCTCAGCCCTGCCTTTAGAGGTGGAGACCTAAATTGGCCTTTTGTAGAGTCCTGTTTTAGTTATTCGGAAAACAGAATGCAAACACTCTTGACTTTCTTCGAGTTTTTTTGGCCCTTACTCATTGACCGTTTTGTCTCTGTTTTCAGCCAAAGCTCCAAACAAACCTATTCAGGTAGTTTATGTGCCCTCACATCTGTTTCACATGCTATTTGAGTTGTTCAAGGTAAGTGGAATTTAACAACATGGGAAGAAGTCTTCATTTTAAATTACTTTGATTCAGGGCATAATGGATTCATTACATTAGCATAAGAAAAAGGTTTTGCATAACCATTTTAAAAATTCTATTTCTGATATCCTGTGGGCTTTATAATTTTTACACTGTGAGATGAAAAATTGCTGTGTATAGTATAGTTTTCGTGAATATTAGTACATATTGATTTTGAAGCTTAATTGTACTTTGGTGATTTTATATAAAATCCATAGTGTTTTTTCTTCATGTATGAGATTAGAGATGCTTTTTCATTTCCAAACCTGGCAGAGGCTTTATTGATGGTAGCCCGATTAAAATGAAAACATGTTTATGCGTATTTATGCCTCTGAGCATTAACTGTACTGGTACATTAGTAGTTGTTCTAGTTCTCAGAGCTACTGTAGCCCTTTAACATATCTGAGTCAATTTAGAAGATGTGACAGAGGAAGAGGAGCAAGATATGGAATGGCTAGACCAATGAGAACACGCCCCCAGGCCCCGGGAAAAAGTCTTTAGGCTCTCGACAGTGTAAACTGTTGCTTTTGTTAGCCAGTAGCCAGTGGCATTTATGGTAACAGTATTACAGGCACAAGGCATTTTCAGTAAAACTTCATTCCTTCCAATACGTGTGAAACCCTAAATTGAACCCCTGAAAATTAGTTGTGCTGATTTGCACCCCCATATTTTATTGTTACTCAGGTAACAATCAAAGGTTGAGATGGGCATTCAGTTGTGAGCTTTCTCCTGAACAGCTGTGGCTTCTTCAGAACGTCTTCTTAACTGACATTTCTTCCACGTTTTCTTTTCAGCCACATGGTTAATTTTTGTGGGAAGCAGGTTCCCGCCCTCCTTAGAGGGCACGCACCCTGTCACTGCGGAGCGTTAGGTAGGATTGAGAGCACGTCGGTGAGCCTCGGTGGCCTCGTCACATGTGACCAAAACACTCCTCTTGGTTGAAAGTTGAATAATTGAATACCCTAAAGCAAAACAAATGGAAAAAGGGGAGGAAAGAAAAACAGATGTATACTATGGTAGATGGGGCTCAAACTAGGTGAAAAACAAAGCATCAGGAAGTGTTTCCTTGATCTGAACACATTTAGCCAGGTTCTGTAGAAGGAAAAAAATAGCCATGTAAATAGTACTAATAGTTGTCCCACAAAAAAGTTATGTATAGGTAATGTCATGTGAGTTTCTTTTTCTAAAATGTGGTTCGTGAGTCAGTGGTATGCTTTAAAAAAGGTCTTCTTATTTCAGAACTCAATGAGAGCGACCGTCGAACTCTATGAAGACAGAAAAGAAGCCTACCCTTCTGTTAAAACCCTTGTTACTCTGGGTAAAGAAGACTTGTCCATTAAGGTAACTGCTCGATTTGCACACACACTTTCATTACCAGTTCATTCAATAGTATCTAGACACCAAGGAATCAGAGGAAGGGAAGAAAACGGACATTTACTGAATGTTGTGTTTTTAAATACTGCATTAGATCTTTGGCTGAAGTCACTGTATTTTTTGGACCATAAGACGTGCCTTGGTTGTAGAGGAAGAAGATAGGGAAAAAAATGTGCTAAAATATTTAATAACATAAATAACATAATATTTCACCAACGTAAATGTAAACAGAATTCAACAGTAGCATTAACAACCATTATTCCCCCCAAATTCGGGGGTGGGGGGTGCATCTTAGAGTCTGCAAAATATGGTGCCTCGTTTAAATTTTGCTAGTACCTCATTTTCCAGGAAGCTAAACAGGGTCTCAAACCCAAGCCTGTGGGATCCCACAGCTTCCCTGCCTCCTTTGCTTTACACTCTTCGTAGTGGAACCATATTTCACTGGGGGTTCAAAGCCCATACATGTTTCAGAGTAATTTCCTGTGGACTTTATTTAACAAACTTGTTGCCTTCTACTAAGTATAGACTGTCACCTACCCCACCTCCTCCACTACAGATCAGTGACCTAGGTGGTGGCGTTCCCCTTCGAAAAATAGATCGTCTTTTTAACTACATGTACTCAACTGCTCCTAGACCAAGCCTGGAGCCTACAAGAGCTGCCCCTCTGGTAAGTATCTTAAACTGCGACTTAAGGGAAGATTATAAACATGAGCAGGGACTCTGGCCGGGCTGGGCGTGAACCTCGTTGAATGGGAATGTTTCTTGAATGGTTTGAAGGAGGGTGAATTTTGCGCCCCAGCTACTTTCTTTGTCAATCCTTTGGACTTAGATTTCTTCTGTAATTTGTATCTGAGACACACAGAGCTCAGTGTCTTATTTGCAAGTACAGAGAAAAGCTATCTCCCTTTGGGTAAGAGTGCTTCGGGAGAACCATTTACCACCTGGCACTACCTTTGGAGAAGGTGGAAGTGTAATCGCGGTGAGCAAAGGAGCAGCGCAGCGTGTCCTGGCATTTTGGTGCTAGGTACTGATCACCCCAGGCCTTTGAACTTTCCCACCAAATTTGTTTATATAATTAAGATGTTAAATTATGAACATACGAAGTTTTTTATCTTAAATAACATAAGCAGAAACTGTATAGGTGGTGTACGCATTTTCAGAGCCCTTTCTGTCTCAGTCTGGAAATAACCTTCAGCCCTATTAAGGCAGTGAGAAAAGTCTGGTTACCATGGCAGCATTTAGATCCTGGTAGGGCCACACTTTCTTCCCCTGCTGAGTGTTTCTAATTGACAAACAACAATTGAACCCTTTGTCATTAAACACAGCAACATCTATCAGTCTGCAAAAATGGTTCAGGGTATAAATTAAGCTTCATTTTCCAGTCCTACCCAACTGGTAAGCACGTAAGATTATATTTTATTTGTAGGAATAAATTCTTAACACTTTGCATTGTTTATTCAAGACAGAGTTTATTAACACAGCATGTTGAAAGCAGAGAGAAGTCACTTATTATCAGATTCAAGAAAATTCATGAAAGATCAAGTTTTGAAAGGCATTGCCTTGACCAGGCTCTGGTACCTACTTAAATAAATGTCAGAGGGGAAAACAATACTACGAGCAAAACTAGAGCCTTCCTCATTTATTTAAAAGGAATACGGATCATCTATTCCAGGTCTCAGAATAGCATCTTGGGAACAGCTGTCGTGTGTGTCATAGTTATTTGTTAATGATCGAGACCTTCAAAAACACAAAAACAGCCTCCCATTTTATAAATGAGAAAATAAGCTTAGTACCTTGCCCCAGGTCATTGAGCTTAGCTCATTATGGCACCAGCTGCCTGTGCGTTCTTTCCAGTGTGCCCACCACATGGCCTCTCCTTTGGAAGATGTGCCTCCGCTCACGTCTCTCCCAGTTTGTAAACTGCCCTCGGCTTTAAACTAGGCACGTGGATGTGTGCTGCTAGAAAACATAATTCCCTCACCGAACACCTTACTGTGTTATAGCTCTGTGCCTTGACACATGCATTTCTTTTTCAGAAATGTCCTCCTAGCAACTCCTATTGATCCTTCGACACCCTGGGAAAACTCTCCTGAGCCTCACCCTGTCCAAGTTAGAGGCCCCCCCTCTGCCTTCCGCAGGACTCTAGGCTTTACTTGTCTCCTCACACTGGGGACTGCATGGGCCCCAGGTGTGCTCAGCTGGTTCCTGGCAGGCGTGAGAACAGGGGCCTGGGCCTTGCTGGAATGGAGGAAGCCGCTTTCCTTGGCGTCTTGCTGGAGTGTGCTGGTTTCTTTATTGTGGTGATTTTAGTTACCATTATGAGTATTTTTGTCTTCACTACTGGTCATATGCTGCCAGTCTTAACACCCTTAAATGACAGGGTGTACTCCCCCGTCACACCCAGCCCTTTGAGTTAGTCCCTACGCTGATGAAGAAATCTAGGAAAGATGGTAGAAATCCATGTAACTTGGTAGAACTGCTGTTCTGTAGTAACCACAATAGCAATTACCATCTATTTAGTTTTATTATGTCTGATGAGGTAATTTTTTAAAATTACATTTTCTGATGAGAAAACAAGTCTCAGAGAGGCTGAGTCAATTGCTCGGTTTCACAAAAAGTGTCTTTCAGCTTAGGTGTATCTCAGCCTAAAGCCCAGGCAACTGCCACTCTGTGGTGCTTTGCCCCACTGCCTTCTTTGTTAACCTTGGCAGTGGACTTAATCAGAGGGACCGAAGCGTGTGCTACAACATCTATCTTCCCCTGTCACCCTAGCATTACTGAAGTCAGTCTCAAATGATCTTCCTGTTCTAGTCAATACCTGAGATCTTTTTTTACCCCCCAAACCTGTTACTGACAATGTTCTATGATGGAGCGATATGGGCAGATACTAAAATTCTTTTCTTGTCTCTAAAAATATGTGGATTAGCATATATCAAAATCTTGTAGCATTCCTAGAACCTTAGGAAGAAGCCACTTAGGAAATTGTTTCCTTTTCAATGCATTAGCCTTGGTACTGGTAGATTTGCACTCCTGTGCTATTCAATTTAATGTTTGCTTTAAATAGCAAGAGAGTCTGATAGTGAAACTTTGGTACGATGTGGTTTAGTTGTGTTGCCAGTTCAAATGCCAGTTAATTTGGGATTTGCTTTAAACATACTAAAAAAGAAAAACAAAAAAAAGAATAACCGGTGCTTTCAAGTGCTAAGAAAGTGGTAGTCAAAAATTGCAGTGTTTCTAGTATTTTCCAAACCTACGAGAAGCATTTTTGTAGACTGAAAATAGATTGGTTGCCATAGATGGGCATATTCATCATTGTAGAGGTTGAATCAATCGTGTGTTTTCTTTAAATCGGAATCAAGAATTTCTTTTAATCTTCGGAATGATCCTCATAGCAAACGTGTTGCCGTGTGTGCCTGTCTCAACTGTATTCATTTTCTTTCCTTTGTAGGCCGGATTTGGTTATGGCTTGCCAATTTCTCGTCTGTATGCTAGATATTTTCAAGGAGATCTAAAACTGTATTCTATGGAAGGAGTGGGTACAGATGCTGTAATTTACTTGAAGGTACTACACTTTCTATCTGTTAGTAGGAAGGCATCTAAACTTCAAAGCTGTAAATTCCAATAACTGATAAACAAACCATAACATCCATCACCTGTCATAATTAGCTCAGATTTACTTCCGTTTATATGAAAGCCATGTCACATAATTCCTGCTCTTGATTTTACACATAGATACAGCAAAGTATGAAACATAGAGATATAAGAAGTAAAAGAATGACTTTTAAAATCATAATTCAGAGTCATGATTTTCAAAACAAATTGCATAGCTATTGAAAGGCTTAATCTAAAAGGAGGCAGGTGATCATAAACTGGAGTCTTTTAGTCTTTTGCTTTAAAACTTGCTGGCTTTCCCAAAGTTACAACAATTCAGTAATCATAATATAGTTACATAAGAGGCTGATCTAATAGCAAAGATCTCTGTAACACAGGCTTCCATTCATCGGTGGTGTGAGGCTTTAACTTATTTCTAAACTGGAATATTTGAAGTATTTTTTTAAGATTTTATGTATTTATCTTTAGAGGGGAAGGGAAGGAGAGAGAGAGAGAAATATCAATGTATGGTTGCCTCTTGTGTGTCCTCTGCTGGGAACTGGCCTGCAGCCCAGGCATGTGCCCTGACTAGGAATAGAACCGTGGTTGTTTGGTTCGCAGGCCCGCGCTCAATCCACTGAGCTACACCACCCAGGGCTGAAGTATTTTTTGAATGGATGATATAGGCACATGCTACAAAATGGAAAACTTTAAGTGTCTCCCACCACTGGCCCCAAGGCACCCTGTTTTGCTTCCTGGAGGGAACCTTGGATACCAGTTTCTTGTAGATTCTCTTAGAAAAATGTAACGTTTTAAAAGATTTTATTTACTGACTTTTAGAGAGAGGGGAAGGGAGGGATAAAGAGAGGGAGAGAAACATCAGTGTGTGGTTGCCTGTCACCCTCAATTGGAAACCTGGCCTGCCACCCAGGCATGTGCCCTGACTGGGAATTGAACTGGCGACCATTTGGTTCGCAGGCCTGCACTCAATCCACTGAGCCACACCAGCCAGAGCAACATCTAATTTTTTCTTCACACAAATGATTGTTTCAGCACTTGGCTTTTTTATTTTACTTTCCAGTATATCTTGGTTATCTTTCCATATCAATTCACATGGAACTGGCTCCTTTTTAACAGCCGCATATTTTGTTATATATACATGTAATATGTTCTATCATAACTTAACCAGTTATTTGGAGTGTTTATCTTAAATGTCATTGCATTTAAATTGTGTGATATTTGATAATACTTTATGGGTTATGTTCACAAATCTAGCATGTATGAAACATTATTTCTTTGTGGACCTTTTGGAAGAGCAATTGCCCAGTGAATAATAGTACATGTCACGCTGACTGGTGTGGCTCAGTTGGTTGGGCGTTGTCCTGCAAAGCAAAAGGTCACTAGTTCAGTTCTTGGTCAGGACACCTGCCTGGGTTGCAGGTTTGGTCCCCAGTCTGTGTGCATACGAGAGGCAACTATACATGGATGTTTCTCTCCCCCTCTCTGCCGCTCATCCCCCTCTCTCTCAAATTGATGAAAAAATTGCCCTCGGGTGAGAATTTTTTTTAAAGTGTCTCAAACTAGATTCAAATGCTTTTTGTTCTGGCCACATATATATGTCAGTTCTGGCTTTGAATGAGTGAATGTTTATATTCCTTTAAAAAAGCTTTTATTTCATCCCGCTTGTTTAAGTAATCTAAAATAGTATAATAGTATGATTTTAACATAATTCAAAAATATGTATTAAGGTTTTGGACATTTTAAATAGTAAAATTTGGGTTAGTATTTTATGTGAGACAAATAACACTGTGGCCCTTTGGCATATATTTTTCCATTAGGCTCTCTCAAGTGAATCATTCGAGAGGCTTCCAGTATTCAATAAGTCAGCCTGGCGCCATTATAAGACCATGCCTGAAGCCGACGATTGGAGCAATCCCAGCAGTGAGCCCAGAGATGCTTCAAAATACAAGGCAAAACAGTAATATATTACTTTGCTTTCTATTCTAGGGTATCTGAATTTGCCCCGGAATACACCAGCTAGATAATTGATACTTTTGGCCAAATCTTCTGTGTGGTTCACTAGAAAAGCAAAATGATCCCCGAAACAGTGCAGCAGCTTTCTCACCCCAGACACGAACGAGAGAGCAAGAACTGGGCAGCCAGAGCAGCCATTCAAATAGAGGCCCTGCTGTTCCCGGGGTCCGTGCGCTATGGAGGCCTTCACAGCAGTGGGCGGGGTTTATCCTGCCATGACTTATATTTAAAAAGTAATTGAGTTGGTAGTTTATCATCATCCATAGAACTTGACAGAAAAAAAAAGTTACAGAAACTCTGTAGGTTGAAACTGAAAAAAATAAAGCAGTTAAAATGAACAGTCTAGATAAACAAATGTGGTATATCCACACTATGGAATAATATTCATCCTTTAAAAAGAACAAAGTTCTGACATATGCTTCAATAGGGATGAACCTGAAGGCATCGTGCTAATAAGTGAACTAAGCCCAGCCAGGAAGGACAAACACTATAGGATTCCACTTACACGAGGTACCTAGTGTAGTCACATTCATAAAGATGGAAATTAGAATGGTGGTTGCCAGGGGCAGGAGGATGGGGAATTGTTTATGGGGGGCAAGAGCTTCAGTTAGGGAAGATGAGAAAGTTCTAGAGATTAGTTACACAACAATGTGAATGCATTTAACACTACTGAACTGTATACTTAAAAGCAACCAAATCATATTGATCTTTTTCATTCAAATGTAGCATTGCAGTGTCTCTCCCTAAATCATTTTAATTGCATATATTTCTTCTTAACCTGAACACCTTGCCTTAACATCATGTCACAGAAAGGTATTTGTCTGCGAATACAGTTTGCATGGCATCGTACTTTTGTACCTTTGTCGTAGCATTGTTCTTTCTGACGGATGATATAAAGGGTGTCTATACTTTTTCCCATGGAAGTGATGTGATGGACCTGTGAGCAGTATTGCAGGACCGGTCACTTATCTGAAATATATACTTGCCCATGAGTGCCAGTACACACTTGGGGGTGTGTGTGTACTCACTTGCACCTGCAAACACACACTCACACACCCCACCCCTGTCCAAGATTAAAGCTAAATCACCTTGAAACACCTGGATCAATTTCCCTTGATTGCATTTTCAGTCTGTATGTAAGGCAAGTAGCATAGTGGGCATCAATGTGACTAATTAACTCAAACTATTGCTCTGATGGGGGAGTCGTCTGGGTAGTACAATTGCAGTCTCTATAAATAATGAGGGCCACTTGAATTTTAAAAGGGATGACTTTAATTGGATATTGTTTTGAAGGCAATTTTAAAACTCTAGAAGTTTTCAGCAGGTTGTATACTAATTATGAGTCTTAATTTCTAGTATATTATTAGACAAACATATTTTAGCAGAAAGCAATTGTTAAATTTGTTAAAATTGTAAAATGGTTATCCTGGCAATTAGAGTTGTTAAATTACAGAAGTAGGAAAATTAGTGGTGATCTTGGAAAACGATTTAGTAGGTGTGGTAAGTTCACTAGGTGAGTGAGAAGTTCTAAGAAAATGTATTCTCTAGTCAGATTTTTAACAAGAGTTCTATTGAGCTATAATTCATATACCATAAAATTCACCCTTTTAAAGTGTACATTTCCATGGGATTTAGTATATTCACAGAGTTGTGTGACCTTCATCACTATCTAATTTTCAACAGTTTCATCACTCCCAAGAGAAACCGTGTGTCTGTTAGCAGTCAGTCCTCATTTCTAACCAGGTTTTTAACTGAGACTAAGGAACTATTTTAAAGTATACATAAGTAATTAAGTGATAATTCTTTTCCTGTAGTAACCATAGACAATAATTCTAGATAAGGCAAGAAGTTCTGAATTATCATTGTAACTCAGTGCTCTGAATAAGTCTTGCTTAAAATCAAGAAGGTTATGCATATAAACTCACTATGGATATTCCCATTATTTTCTTTGTAGAGACAAGATCAAGACCAATAGAACTTTCTAGAGAACTGAATGCTTTGGTCCTCTCTGTGAAGAAAGATCATCTCGCGCAAGTCAACCTCTGAGCTCCTTTCCTCTACTCTGAGCGTGACACCATCATTATTCTAGAGCTGGACCTTTGCCAGAGAAACTTTTCCTGTAGTTACTTCAGAGTTTCCACAAAAGTAGTCAACTGAGTAATTTTTCATGTTATGTTGTGGTTTGGTTGGTGCCGTCATAAGAGAGCACAGAGCCTCGCGAGTGCTCTCGTGTCCTCATACCTCTCTCCTCATTATCACGAGTCAAGTGTCTACAGTGTTCCCAGGGTTCTAAGGTCCCTCCGCATTCCGGATACAGCAGATCTCTACTGTTGCAGTTTATGACCAAATACCATGTTTGTCCCAAACCACCAACGAAGGCCTGGGGAACATGAGATTGAAGACACGAGTTGAGTGTGTCTCGGTAATTCAGTCCCAGAGCCCCTCCTCCCTCACAGACATCCATCCTCACTCCCTGAGGGAGAGTTTTGCCTTCTGCCATCTGATCATATTCTCATTGTGAGGTGCGTGTACTTTTGTGCTAGATCTTACTCTTTGATGCATTGGCTTTATTTTACAATTCATTTGTATACTTTTATTCTGTCCATTAAAGCATTCCAAAAGTTGTCTTGGAATTTTTCACTTAGCTGCTTGGTTTCAAAGATCTTAAGTGAAAAACTACCTTGTGGTCACTATCCAGTTTGTAAAGATTGGGAAGTGGAGCTCTTACACTTATGTGCCCTTTTTAGCAATCTAATAGTGGACCTTGGTCACATTATGTTCCTTTGTAGTTTTTTAAGGAATTGCTACTTCTCGTGTGAGGGTACTTCACTACTTGTAAAATAGACTATGAAAGGGAAAAGTTCTTTTGAGTTTATTTTGAAAAATGCCCTAGGTCTTCATAATTTTCAGTTTCATACATTTTAGCCAGTTGTAGACTTGCCGATCTGATTTTCACAATCCTTCGCTTTTTGCTGAAAGTTGGAATTGGCAGAGAACTTGGGGCAAGGGAATAGGACTCATTATTATTTACCCATAGATTAGGGGAGCTGTCCAAGAGTCCAGATGACACCCCACCACTTACATAGCTCCACAGAAAGTGTTTCTTTCATTTCATCATGTGGTAGTTACCCTTCATCTTCAGAAAGATCCCATTTCTTTCATCCTTGGAAGGATCTCATCCGAAAACTCACAATCAGGTGCAAGAAAGGCCGATGTACTTCCAACACCGGGGTGACAAGATGGCAGTCCTTGTGGAGGCCCAAGCAGGGCATTTTCATATGATTATTTCCTTGTGTAAAAGATATAAAAAAATAGTGGTTCTTTACATTTACACACCCTGAGTATCTTGCTAGTCCTCCATTTATTACTCCTTTACACTTCCAAGTATGGTGCACTGTGTGGGGAAGGAAGGTCCTGGGAGTGTTCCTTCCTACCTTGTTCTAGTTCACTGTGCCTAAGGAATGCCCGTTGATCGTTAGGCCCTCACGGCAGGTTCCATGTAAAGGTCGAAGAGGGAAAATGCGGTGTGGGAAGATCCTATCGCATCTCTCCCTTTCAGGTCTTTTTCAAAAGTAAAGTTTTCGTTCAGTATTTTAATGGCTTAATTAGTAGTCCTTTACTCATATGCTTTCTGGTTTACTCATATCCATCTGATGCCAATACGATCTTGCCTCCTCTTTGCTCTCTGCATTAAGAATTTAACTTTGCTCCCGAAGTAACCATAAGAAGAGTTTCAGGAACATCTGGCGTCCTCACAGTTTAGTGCCCCCAAGTATTCATTTATTCGCTTTGTTGGCTGTGCCTGATTCTTTGAACTTAGGTGCATTTCTCTGGCTGCTTGACAGGTTTGTTTCTAAACAAACGGTCCAAAGTCTACGTGTAAGTTGTAATATAAATAGACATTGATGCCTTTTCCACAAAATTCATGTAGTTCAACCAGTTCCTCTCTTTGCCTTTCATTTGACTTCATTTTAAGTATTTGGAAAGTGTGTCTACTATTTGGAACAGTGCCTGGCACATAATAGGTGCTTAATAAACATTAGCTGAATGAAGGCGTGAAGATTGAGAGACATTTACTACGGGTGGAGGCCAACATCTCTCTAAGTTCTTAAACTGTCTTTGTTCCCAAATTAAAAATCATTCCAGTCAGGGACTGTGGAAGTGCTGAATGTCCTTTTTGTGGTGCTAAGCAGTGACTTTAAAATGGAGAGAAACAAAAGTCCCTACTTCTTTCAGTGGGGACGGATCCACAGGAGGCTTCTGATACTTTCTTGGTCTTCACATACTCATTTTGACCCCTTCATACAGTTGGTTCTTTCCATCCAACCAAGCAGCGTGGGTTTATAGCCTTGTTTGTCGATCCCAAAGAGCTTTTACATGCAGCATCCCCTGATCCTTACCGTGCCGTGCGGAGGAGCACACAGACATTATCTCTGTTTTTCGTGAGTCCCAAAGCAGTGCGGTGTTTGCCAAGGTGACACGGTAAGTGAATAGAAGAACCAAAGTGAGTAGTCAGGTCTTATTCCTAGGCTGGTACTCTCAGCAATGCACCAGATAATTAGCATTCTCTCTCCTGAGGAAATTCTTGGGTGTACCAAGCCCCAGGGGTAAGATGTAAGCCACAATTTTTCTATAGTGCAAGAGAATTCTATTCAGGAGAGGTTTTCTTTTGTGTGTTTTCATTTTGGCATAGTTAGTTAGAGGAGATAATCGAATGGATTTGGCAAGTTTTACCGAGGAAGACAGGAAAACTTAAAGTATATAGCAGTAGGTCATTGTTAGAGTTATTTAGATTTAATTTTATGTTTGAATGAACTCAGTGCTCACTGCCAGCCCTTCATACAAAGATTCCTCATTCAAGAGTTGATGCTTTTATCTTTGGGTGGGCTGGTTGCAGCCTCAGTTGGATTTTGTTACATGTTTCCAAATGCACCTCTATTGCTCTTCCATATGTTGAGTAACTTGGCTGGCTCTCAGGTTCTTGGGTCACATCCTTTGTCCCTCGATTCTTTGGACACCTCCATTTATTGTCTTCTAGTGTCTGGTGATGCTGAGAAGGCAGAATCCCGACAGAACTTTCTCCCCCTTTGGTAGATGACCTGCTTGTTTGCTCTGGGTACTTGTGATTTCTTGTTTATCCTTGAATTCGGTAACTCCATTTGAGGGTATGTCAGAGTTGACAGACATCCGTTGGCTTTTTCTGGTTCTCAATGACATTCAGTATTGACATTTGACCCGACTGTATTTCTTACTAGTTTGTTTTCTTCTTCAACAGTTTGTCCCAGTACTAGCTGTCGGTTATCTGTCCTTCATATTTATCACTTTTTCAATCACTGTCACCTCCTTGTCTTGCTTCCATAGTGTTGATCTAGGCCTCGATGCTTCCAATGTGCCTTTCACTTCTGTCGTGGTTTTATTTTTTATCTGTTTCTTTCTTAGCTCTGCCACCTTTCTTCTCTCATCGTGTCGTCCTGTTTGGCTCCTTATTTCATTGCATTTGGAGACTGAACAGTGAGGTCTACATTTTTTGTGGTTTTTGAAGTTATTCTGTTTCCAGACTGTGTGTTTATCCGTCTTTCGTTTCTTTCATTCCTTTCCTTTTCTGTTGTCTTGCTCGGTTATTGTTTTACAAGTATCGTGATGGCTTTTCTGCTTATTATTTGTCCTTGCATGGGACCAGTTCTGTCTGCCCAAGAAGAAGATGGACAAAGCCTTCTTGAGTCCTCCCTGAAGTGAGAAGTGTTTGAACAATCACTGGGCTGGGTGATCACTTGAAGTGCAAGGTTAGATCTTGATGGGTCCTACTGGTGAGGCTGTTGTTTTGTTTTTCATCCTGCTCTCTAGATATGGGGAAATAGGGAATGAAGCAAAATCTCCTTGGGCCATGTTGTCTGTGAGTCTCTTCCATGGACAGTGTGGGATCCTCTCTTCCCTGGGGCGGCCAGGTCCCATTGGGGGAGAGGGACTCCCTTGACTTTTCCCATTTATACTAGATGTCACGCTAGCAAAAGCGTGGAGAGTTTGTACTTAGGCTCTGCTGGATTATATGTACAGCAGGTCCTTGAATAACATCAGTTTGTTATAACATTGATGAGATGCCATAGGAACTGAACTCTTGTCTATATCAATTTACCTGTGGTAAAACTGGTTTTGTTGTATATCGCCGTTTCACTTAAGGTCAAAGACCCTATCCGCAATGTTGAGTGAGGACTTACTGTAGTCAGCGTGTGTGTGGTTGGCTCCTGAGTTACACAAGCGGTGCACCTGAGATCTCAACCTCCCTTCTTAGGTTTTCTTCTGGACATGTGCTCATGTTGTATGAGAACTCTGCTGCTCCGGGCTGTCACTAGTCTTGGTTTTCTACAAGTTAAGTAACATTTCATTGGTAGAGTTCTTTGGAACATACTTGCAAATGGCCCAGCAACTATGGTTTACTCGGAAAATTTCAGAATCTTCCTTTGCTGAGTCCCCAACTTCATTGTGTCTGTCAGACACTCCCCTAGAGTCTTCGATATGTGGCGGTAGCTTTTATTTGTTTCATTACAGAGAGCTGCTTCAGTTTTCGGTTGTGTGTGTTGAAGGGTAGGTGCAGCGAGGTAAGCATGCATTTATTCTGCCATCTTTCCCAGTGGCCCAGGAGCTTAATGAAACATTAACTTTGAAGGGAATGTACTTCATAATCGTAGTCCATGTTGGTAAGCAGGACTCAATATCACTAGGAGGGAAGAACCATTAATAACTTGATCAATACAGGATTTTTGTTTATTGTTTATAGTGGAAAGATAACTTTTAACTCAGGTTCCTGTTCCATCAGTTACAGATATCAGTACGTTCTGGTTTGAAAGTAAGGGACATTGGACATTTTAATGAATGTAAGATGTTATCAGACCCTGAGAATTACTTAGGAGTTCATTAAATATAATAGAATATTTCTAACTAGCACATAATCAGAGTTATCAAGAGAAGTATATGCTATTTTTTATTAACAGTTCACTAGCCAAGCTACCCCAACAAGGGTAGTTACCCTTATGAGAGTTTTACTATGACATAAGGGTTTGGGTTTTTTTTCTTGGCTCTCGTTTCAACCAACCCATTTTATGATTTGGTTCATTAAGAAATAGAAACATTCAGTTCCTCATTGGCATTATTTCTGTTATTCATGCACGTGCATGTCGATGGTTTGTAGGTCTGGGGCCTGCTATAGAGACACAGGCGGCCATGTTTCAAAAGGACAGGTGGATCACAGGCTGGGGGGTTAATTTGGCCTGTGTGGGCATCTCCCTTCCTGGTGACCAGCATATTCTATATTCTACTAGGCACACTCTTCTCACCTTCAGGGCCTAGCACAGGGGTGTCAAACTCATTTTCACCAGGGGCCACATCAGCCTTGCAGTTGCTTTTAAAAGGCTGAAATAACTTTAGGACTGTATACATGTAACTACTCCTTAACAGTTAAGGAGTTGAAATTACGTTTGGCCCTTTGAAGGCAACTGTGAGGCTGATGTGGCCCCCGGTGAAAATGAGTTTGACACCCTTGGCCTAGCGCAAGGACCAAGGAGTATGAATGACAGCCTGGCTCTCTGTAGTTGGGGACTGATCAAATTCTACTGTACACAGTGCCTCCCCCTAAGGTCACAGTGATGTAGTTCCATTTGTTAATTGTTTCTTCTTTTCCTCTTGCCTGAAGAGAGATCTGAAAAATATTGCTATGACAGATGCCCGAGATTTCACTGCCTATGTTTTTTTTTAGGACATTTATGGTTTCAAGTCTTACATTTATGTCTTTAATTCATTTTGAGTTTATTCTTGTCTATAGTACAAGGAGGTGGTCTAGTTTCATTTGTTTGAATGTATCTGTCCAATTTTCCCAACAGCATTTATTGAATAGACTATCTTTACCCCACTGTATGTTCTTGCCTTGTTTGTCAAGTAGTAGTAATATATAGGCATGTGTTTATTTCTGGGCTTTCTATTCTGTTCTGTTGATCTATGTGTCTGCTTTTATGCCAGTACCATGCTGTTTTGGTGACTGTGGCCTTGTAGCGTAGTTCAATATGACATAGGATGATACCTCCAACTTTGTTTTTCTTTCTCAGGATGGCTAAGGCTATTCAGGGTTTTTTATGGTTCCATATGTATATTTTTGGATTATTCCAGTTCTGCAAAGTATGCCATTGCTACTTTGATAGGAGTTGCATTGACTCTGTACATTGCTTTGGGGAGTATGAACATTTTAATAACATTAATTATTTCTATACATGAATATGGTATATGCTCCCATTTATTTGTATCTTCCTCAGTTTCTTCTTTCAGTGTCTTATAATTTTCCAAGTATAGATCTTTTACTTCCTTGGTTCATTTTATTCCAAGGTATTTTATTTTTATTTTTTGGTGCAATTGTAAATGGGATTGTTTTCTTGGTTTCTCCTTTGGATACTTCATTATTGGTGTATAAAAATGAAACCAGTTTTGCATCCTGCTACTTTAATGAATTCATTTATCAGTTCTAGTAGTCTTTTGGTGGAGTGTTTAGGATTCACTATATACAGTATATGTCATCTGCGAATAATGACAGTTTTACTTCTCTTTCCAATTTGGATGCCTTCCATTGCTTCTTTCTGTCTGATTGCTGTAGCTAGGATTTCCAGTCCTATGTTGAATAATAGTGGTCAGAGTGGACATCCCCATTTTGTTCCTGATCTTGAGGGAAATACTTGTAGTTTTTGCCCATTGAGTATAATGTTGGCTGTGGGTTTGTCCTATATAGCGTTTATATGACATCGAGGTATGTTCCCTCTATTCTCCCTTTGCTGAGACTTTGTATCATAAATGGGTGCTGGATTTTATGAAATGCTTTTTCTGCATCTATTGGTATAATCATATGATTTTTATCCTTCATTGTGTTTATGTGGTGTATCACATTTATTGATTTGTGGATATTGTACCATCCTTGCATTCCAGGCATAAATCCCACTTGGTCGTGGTGTGTGGTCTTTTTTAATGTATTGCTAGATTTGGTTTGCTTACATTTTCTTCAGGGTTTTAGCATCTATTTTCATCAGGGATATTGGCCTATAATTTGCTTTCTTTGTAGTACGTTTATCTGGTTTTGGAATCAGAGTGATGCTGGCCTCATAAGATGAACTTGGACATCTTTTCAAGCCATCTCCATGGTATCAAAGCAAGTCCTTGCCTTCCCACTTGACAGAACTCCTTCCCCTCCCTACTTCAAACCCACAGTCAAATGTGACAGGGGCTGGTACTCAGGAGAGTTAATTCATGTCATCTTTTTTTGTCATCATCCTCCCAGGGGTAGGAATGTAATGTTAACCTTTCCTCACAGAGGGATACAACAACATGCGGGTACATGACATTGGCTTCCTTGGCTGAGACCAGATCAGCCTCATCAGAGTTTTTCATTTCATCAGGAGCATGAGTTCTCCAGTGGGGTCTGTAGCTCCAATAATCTTCTTGGGCTCCAGACCCCAGGCAAAGCCCCATGGCTTTTCTGACTCTTCTTTTCTTCTTGAGTTTTCCCCTCCCTGTTATGTTCAGAATCAGAGTCAGCTTTGCACTGGCCTCCCTGTGATTTATCTGTCTCATGTGCTGTTTTGTGACTGTAGACACTCATTAATGAGGTTGGGCCAATCCAGGTTCTCTTCTGGCTCCCACGTGTTGCCCTCATCTGAGAATCCCTTGTACTTTACCACTCAATGGTAGAGAACTTTTTCCACCACATATTCCTCTTCCTCTTGTAGTGCCTCCTCTACTTTCTTCTTGCCCCCGCCCCACCCCCTGCTGTAGTGCCTGCAGCTTCCTTGTGTAAATGGCTCAGAGTAGAGCCCAAGAGCCTGAGGAATCAGTGCCGTGCTCATGGTGTGTGGTGTTGGGTGGCCCTGAGGAGTAGCACCCAGAAAAGAATAAGCCGGGCAGCTGCAGTCGATTCTCTCACCGAAGTGGCATATCACAGTAATCACTATGGCCTTTCATTGTCTCTCTGGCCAACAGAGAACCATGGTGACATGAGAGGAACCAGCTTTTACAATAAAATTTCATTGAAAAATGTGGGTTGCTGTTTCCTCATAGCAGAAATGCAGTTACAACAGGGTCCACGTGTCTTTTTAGGACTTCAGAAATCACTATTTAAACAGAGAGTTTCTACTTACAGCATCTGGGTGATGCTGCTGCAGTTAAAATAGATGCTTGGCAGGAGTAGACCCTCTTTAACACTTGCACACCCATGTCAGAGCTGGAGGGAAGATTTCACCCAGAAGGCTTCCCTCTGAAGTCCACAGGTTGGCTTTAGCCACGTTCACCTCCCAAAATGAAGGAAAGAAAATAACAACATTGTGGTCATAGAATCCTTGAGAAACCTCTGTTTCTGCCTTTTCTCTGTCCCTAAAACAGGGACATGAATTGCCCATGATCCCAGTGGTAGGGACATGGGCTGCTACTTGTGACACAGACGGCTTTCCCTGGTGGTCCTCCCTGGGACAGAACAGCAAAGCCTCAGTGCACACTCCCAGTTCTCTTTTCACACCTGCTTCTCTGGTTACCCTCAGAGGGCGGAGCTAAGTGATGGAGAAAGATAGGCTGCCAGGATGCCTTTAATTATTCCCTTAGGTAGGGCCAATTTGTCACCTTTAAATCCACTTTTTTGCTGCATATAAATAAAAGCACCTTAGGGCATCCCTACTGAAAGACTCCAAACAAATGTCTGGTACAGATTAGTGCCTTCATTGAAGGAAAGCCTGCCTGCCCCTTTCTCCTCGCAGTATTAATAAGTCCCTAACAGGATGTAACTTCCTAACTATGCCTCCTGTCTCCTCCCCCACTGGTGACTCTGCAGGGGCAGCATGGTCCCCACTGGGAACTGGTGACTTAGGTGTGGGGTGCAGTCTGCATATATCTTGAAGTTGATAAACATCACAGCTTGGTATCTGGAGTCCTGTGGTCTATCCAGTTTGAATGGTTGGGAATATATTTTGGGGGGTGGGATTTCTTTGGATGTTAAAGATCTGAGTAGTAGATTTGTGGTAATATTGGATACAGGAAGTTTACAGTGAAAATAGTATGAACTTAACCTGAAAAGCATTTCTCTGTTCTATAAATCTCTCAGTGACATTTGGATTAATCAAGCATAATTAAATGTAGTTAGATTTTTGTCAGATTGTAGTTTGGAATAATATTCATCTTTGGAGAGGCTAATATATTCTGTAGAAATTTTATTAAGCACTTTAGTTAAGCAAACACTAAGGAGAACAAAATCAGCCTCAGGAAGATTAATTACTAACAAAACACAAAGTTTAGTAGATTACGTAAATCATTTAAATTTTGAATACCATGGCTTGAGCTTTAATTTACACAGAGAGGTATTTTGGATTTTTTTTTCACTTTATATTTTCCAGAAGTACAAAATTATAATTGTAGTGTTTAAAAGTTCTAATCATTTTAGGATTTCATCAAGTTTGCTTATTTTTTTTCATGTTGTACATTCCAAAAGTGAAGAATTACAGTTGTATTCTTTCCATTGTTAATAATCGTTTTAGCATTCCACTAAGTTTGTTTCAATGATAAGAACTGTATTTTTATTTCTCTACCTTTAAAGAAGTGATCTTTCGAGAGAAGTATTAGGAGAGAGAATGTATATAAAAGACAGAGCATCCTTGCATGCCTGGCCTTTCAATAATGAAATGAAATTTTTAAAGAAAGGTAAAACATAAGAGTTTAGACTAGAATCATAAATCTTTTTTATTTTTAGCAATTTCTTTAAATGGAGAAGTAAAGAGATCAAATTGGTTTTGTATGTTATATTTTTTTGTATTCAAAGAATTACATTTTCACTACCTTTCCACGTCTCAGGGAATAGCCTTTGATAAGAATCCCCATAGAAATTTCTGAAACTCTATCATGATGTGTTCAGGTTTGATAGTTCTTGTCTACATTTCTAGAGATAGAGTTTCAA